GTCGCTTTGCAATTTCTAAGTTGACTATCTCGGCAACGAAAAGACATATCAAATACTATCAATGATAAAGGGCTTTCAAATAGTAAAGGCATCCTGTAGACAGGAGGTGCACTCTATAAAATTAATTCTATTGCTGTAAAACTGGATATATTTTTTTAATGTGGCATCAACAATTATTTAGCATGTGGTCTTCTATCTTTGTGTCAATTTTCATGCTTGTAAACAAAAATTACACAATTGTACAATTTGTATACAATATTTTTGCACTATAAGCCAGCTGACCTATTTATCTTAAAAATATWTTTTTTCCGAGCTGCACAAGCGCTTTCAAAAGTATCGCAAGCTCAGAATCGAAAATGAGACATTTTCGGGTAAGAATTGTCGCGTGCTATGTGCTATGTAAAACACATGAAAACCTTGGAATTATGTTAATGTTGAAATATTTGAAGTTTTTTAGTTCGTGACTGAGCAGTATTATTACTTTTTAACAACAGATTAAAAATTTTCTTCAAGGGTTTAGAAATCGCCTATTTAATAAATAGACATTAGTTTTTATGTGTGTCCTATCATAGTTAATGGAGCTGAATGGTTGGGAAACCTTTTGTTCTAGCTTTTTGTTCAACTTATCCTTTGTTATATGACGTTGACCCTGCACAGAGAAAGAAACGTTGCTCCGTTTCTTCATAGTATTCGGGAATATGGAAATTTTYAACCCTAAAAAACGTTCTACTATTACTAATACTCTAATACTATTTGTTACTTAATCCTATATGATTAATACAAATTGTTTATTGAAAAGGAAATTGCCTTTTTTTCATGCTTTCTTATTTATCATCTTGTAACTTAACTGTAACTCGAACGAAAGTTTTCACTTTCAAAATGTTCATACATGAAAATAATAAGGAAATGTGTATTTTCAGCCATACTTGCTTTGGTCCATTGTGCAGGGTCAGTATCACGTGATGGTACGGTTCAACCTCAAACGCAAAACAATAGCTGTGTTCTATGGAGTTTCCAAACCATTCCGCCCCATTAACTATTGAAGAAATAGAAAATGCGCGCGCCTGCTGTGTGCTGTCATAAAGCACTCGGGGGTTGACAAAACACGAGAGAAGTATTAGGAGAAGCACGACGCGTAGCGGAGTGCTTCTAGACACTTCACGAGTGTTCTGCCAATCCCCAAGTGCTTTATGACTGCACACAGCACAGCAAGCAAGTTTTTTCTTTCTTTTATAAAATACAAATTACAATAATAGATAGGAATGAAGCAACGGAAAGTCCTCGCGCGTGCAATATGCTCTCATAAAGCACGCACTCCAAACCAATCCGAGCGCAACATTCATAACAGTTATTTTATAAATGATATTTTTCCCCAGAGGAAGTGGCTGAAAAGGCTGATGAGAAAAGGTGGAGACAGAAAGTCAAAACAATGAAGAAGAGACGAAAGGAAAAACTAACTGCAAGTGATTAACAAACTTAGTCCTCTTTTTACATCAAGAAGAAAATAATCATAAAACTGAGACTAYTACAGATTGCAATCTAAAAATATATGCGAGAAAAACAAGGCAAATAATCGTATGTTGGTCTGTGTGAATGCTCAAACTAAAATGCTTCAGTTAATGACCTATGGTTATTTCACCGACACAACATTAGTTATTTTTAGTAGCAGGCTATGTCAACAATAATCTGAAAAACGTTTAGAAAGGGAGCTTTGAACCCGAAAAACGTGTTTAGACTATGAATGACGCCTTCTAAGAATGCTGTATATAGGGTAACATATGCTGGGTAGGTTTCACTCACACAGTGTGGACGCCGAAAACGCAACTTATTCAGCAATATATATCACTGGTCCAAGGAATCTTTGCATGGTTGACAGTGTATTGGCCGTTTCTTATAGCGCAAGCGTGTTGTGGATGCATGGTTAAAAAGATCCCACATTTTGGGGGCATGCATTTTTTGTTTACTTTCTATCCGGTGTAAAGCGGTGTTTTGAAATTTTTGCTCCGGGATAAGTGACTAGATAAGTGTGRGCATGGCCTGATTTTTATTTTGAGTCATGACCATAAATGTTGAGTTTTAAAAGATTATTAATCAAAAACTTYGTAGTATGTTATTATAAATAAAAATGTTCCTTCCACAATGCTATTTAACATGAAATCCAGTAGAATTCTAAAGTCACCTTTGTTTCAAACACATTTATAACAGATTTTACAATTTTGTATGAAATAAAGAAGCTAGCAAGCAAACTTGCCCAAGCTTGGGCGTAGATCAGTATAAGGCATAAATGGTGCTGGACATAATATTAAGTAAGTCGAACAACGTATAATAACTGAGAAGTATATATATACCTGACACTTCGTACGTTAGTCCTTCGTCACATTAAGATGGGAATTTTGTGTGTTGCATGTTGCAGGTTACTTGTTGCATACCAAGCCCGATCTGCACTATATGGGCGATTCAATAAGAAAAAATGAGGTCACAACAATATTAAATGTTYTTAAACCTTTTTCTTCACGTTTTGGGGGCTTGGGCGGAATGTTTTGCCTATTTCAGACCACGCGCGCATCATTCCCTTGAGAACTATTTCTTTTTTTTGGATGCAAATGGAACAAAAGATCCTAAATTCAAATGAATGACACAGCGACTGAAATGGACAAAAAAGAAAAAAAAMCCCTAACGCTAAAGAGGTCTATTGTCTGCTTTTTTCTAAATCAGTGTGTGGTTTTGCACATTGTAACGCTTAATCAAAATATTTTTATTAAAATGCAATGGCTTGTACGTATTATATAGACAAGTGCTGAACTCAAGTGTAATCCAACTTTATTTTATTGTTATTTTTCTAAGGTGTTAATATAAAATTTAGTCAAAGTAAAATAATTATTTGCTTTAGTTTTAAAAAGCGTTAGCTTATAATCCTCATGGGATAAAACTGTAACCGCCAATAACGGCTAAACCTGTTAAATAACATGTTAGATGTAAGAAATATATTAAATAGAATATGGAAATGATAGTCGTTACAGTTTATGTTTTTCATCATGTAAGGGCTGGAAAGAAAGTGGGGATGGGTCATCATTCTTAAGCATGGAAAAAGGGGTGGATTTTGAGAAACCATTTCATACATTGGGGGTTGGCCATGCTATGTAATGCTATATGAAATTGCCTAAATTGAATACAAAGTAAAAAGTTCAGATGATCAGTGATCAATGGTGTGCCACTTGCAATCATGTGCATGGACCAAAGGGTGAGCCACTTTTAATCATGCATGGACCAAAGGTGGACCACTTTTAATCATGTTCATGGACCAAAGGGTGAGCCACTTTTAATCATGTGCATGGACCAAAGGTGGACCACTTT